GAGACTTGGAGGACCATAGCTCAAGGCCAGCCAGGGTAGAAAAGTTAATGAGACACCTTTTCAATCCATAGCTGGACACAGTGGCATACATGTCATCCTAATCTATGTGGGATACTGAAGTTGGGAGGATTGTAGTTCCAGGAAAGCCACAGCAGCGAAGTCTGAAACAGTCCATCTCAATAGAGGGGAGCTGGATGCACTGGCATGAACCTGTCATACTAGCAATGACAGGAAGCCTAAAATAGGTGGATCAGGGTCCAGACACATGCCCAGGCAGAATCAACACCCCATCTTCAAAACAGCCAGACAAAAGCAAGGCTGGAGGCATAACTCAGTGGTAGAGCACCTCCCTGATAAATTGAGGCCCTGAGTTCAAACAGCAGTAACACAAAAAAAGATGAGTTAAATGTTCACATTCATAGAAAGAAGAACAAGAGGACGAGAAGGAAGAAGACATGATTTTAATAGGACTATTTGGGAGGAATCAGCAAGAAGAGGTTGGGAAAGGAGAATACAGGGTGAAGATGATTGAAGTTATTGTATATACATACATATATATGAAAATAGAATAGTAAAATCCACTAAAAACAGATCTTCCCATAAAGGTGGACACAGAAATGGAGGGACAAAGGGTGAACAAATCCAACAGTGGTACTCACTAGACACTATGTTGAAAATGAAAGATACAACTTGTGGGGGAGGTGAGGGAAAACTGAGAGAGAGTGAGGGAAGGGGTGACATTGTCCAAAAAGAAATGTACCCAATACCTGATTTATGTAACTGTAACTCCTCTGTAAATCACCTTTATAACAACAATTTTTTCCAGTCCTGGGGCTTGGACTCAGGGCCTGGGCACTAGCCTGAGCTTCTTTTGCTTAAGGTTAGCACTCTACCACTTGAGCCACAGTGTCATTTCCAGCCTTTTCTGTTTATGTGGTACTGAGGAATCAAACCCAAGGCTATATGTAAGCTAGGCAAGCACTCTACCACTAAGCCACATTCCCAGCCCTATAATAACAATTAAAAAAAATCAGATCCTTCTAATCGACCTGATCTAAACCTCTCAAACAACTAGGAATGCAGATGTGAGCCACTACACACAGATTCCCTGGACATTTCTGAAAGTACCTCAAAGTAGACCTCTGCTTTGAAGGTGAACATGGTAGAGACAAGTAAGAGAGCTCCAGATGATAGTGGATTTAGCAAAATACTAAGGTGAGTCACGAAGTTGCTTTTAAATGACTCAATTTGTATTTCATTGTCAATAAAACTACACCTAGTCACCCAAGGACAAATTCCATGTAATGATTTTATTATACATTTATTTAGTGGAGAAAAGGAAATCTGACAAAACAGTACATATGGAAGTACTTTCAATGATAAGAGCTGTGAAATCAAATATGGAAGATGCACGATGCTCAAAAGGCAAGTGAAGGACCACAGGTAGAAAAGGGATGTGTGGGGGCTGGGAAGGTGGCTCAGTGGTAGAGCGCTTGCCTTGCAAGCCTGAGGCCCTGGGTTCAATTCCTCAGCACCATATAAGCAAAAAGAAAAAAGCCAGAAGTGGCGCTGTAGCTCAAGTGGTAGAGCGCTAGCCTTGAGCTGAAGAGCTGAGGGGCAGCACCCAGGCCCAGAGTTCAGGCCCCTCGACCGGACCCAAAAAAAAAAAGAAAGAAAGAAAAAAGAAAAGGGATGTGTGAGTGATTATGAGGTGTGCCAAGGAATAATTACCATTTCGTTAAAAGTGTATTAATTGCTGGGTGCCAGTGGCACCTGGGATTACATTTGTAATCCTTCAGGAAGCTAAGATCTAAGGATCATGGTTCAAAACCAGCCAGGGCAGGAAAGTCTGTTAGACACTTAGCTCCAATTAACCAGCAAAAGCTGAAGTACAGAGAGCTCTGGCTCAATGGTAGAGCACTAGACTTGAGAAAAAGAAAAAGAATGGAAAAAAAGCCAAGTGCCAGTAGCTCATGCCTGTAATCGTAGCTACTCCAGAGTCTGGGATCTGAAGATAACCATTTGAGACCAGCCCAGGCAGGAAAGTCTATGAGACTCTTGTGTCTAATTAATGCCCCCCCTCCTCTCTCTCTCTCTCTCTCTCTCTCTCTCTCTCTCTCTCTCTCTCTCTCTCTCTCTCACACACACACACACACACACACACACACAAATGCAGGAAGTGGAGCTATGGCCAGGCGTTAGAGTGTTAGCCCTGAGAAAAAAACAAAACAAACAAAAAAATTCTTCAGAGACAATGCCCTTGCACTGAGTTCAAAGCCCATTACTGGCACAAAAACAGAGAAAGAGAGAGAGAGAGAAGGGAGGGGGGAATGGGTGAGGAAGGGAGGGAGGGGAGGAAAGAAGGAAGACAGGAAAGAAAAAGGAAGGAAGGAAGGAAGGAAGGAAGGAAGAAAGGAAAGGAGGGAGGGAAAGAAAGAAAGGAACAAACTCAGGGATAGAGCTCAGGCCCTAAGTTCAAGTCCCAGGACCAGCAAAATAATAATAATAAACAATAGCAACAACAACACGCTCCTTGTTCTGAACATCTATAGTTTCTGCCCATTGGTCTAGATTGCTAGGGTTCTTTGAAAGACTAACTTGTAGAAGAGGCCAGTCCAGGAGGAACCCTAGAATTGGGTTATATCAAAGGCAGATATGGAGAAAGAGGGAGAGAACAGCAAAGGAGAATGAGGGATGTGCCCATTCACTCTTTGGTGTGCACAGGCCTGCAGGCATTTTACCTCAGGGATTTGTGAAGTCTGGCCACCTAAGGTTCTGCTGTGGCTGCAGGTTTCAACTGTTACCTTTATTTCTATCAACATTCTTATGATTGAAATGGGAGATTTGCATCTGTATTCTCTGTTGCTGTTCTGACCCTAAGGGAAGGCACTCAAGCTTTCAAGGACACAAGAGACAAATGATTACCCAATGCTGGGATTAAGGGGCTCAGTAGCACTTGTACATTAACAAAATACATGTCATCTAATTCCACTGATTCCTCTAAATATTTTTGGAGTTCAGAAATCCTCAGTCCAAAGAGCTCATGGAGTCAAATGGCAACCTCGTGCTTAACCTTCTTAAGCCTCTAAACCTTTTGCTACAACATCTCTGTTTGGCTTCTTATTAAAATAATTTCCTCATGCTCAACCTAGTCTTTGGGGTCTCCTAGGAAATGGGGGTATGAGGCATGCTCCATTGTACAGGCCATGCCGTTCACCCCAATTTCCTCTAGCTTCACAGTAAGCCTTCAGAGCAATGCTAGGTCTAGGTGAAGTTCATCTTGGCACAGAATAACTCAGGCACCAGGATAATTTTTAGTACATTATTTTTAAAAATCCAAAGTAATGCAAAAGTCACGAAGAACAAATGATGAAAAGTTTAAATAAGTGTTGGAAACTTGTGCTTTCTAAGTATATCTATCAGCTTTTATATTTGTAAATTCATTCAAATACCCAAAGAATTTAATTATTAAAGTAGCTTTTCATTATTAAAGGGTGCTGCTTCTTTTTGTTGTATAAACACTTGAAGATACATTATTTAAATTTAAATAAAATACATTATTTTTATGATTTGGAATCCACAGAATACATTCAAAAAGGGGCTGGGAAGGTGGCTCAGTGGTAGAGCTCTTGCCTTGCATGCCTGAGGCCCTGGGTTCGATTCCTCAGCACCACATAAGCAAAAAGAAAAAAGCCGGAAGTGGTCTGTGGCTCAAGTGGTAGAGTGCTAGCCTTGAGCTGAAGAGCTGAGGGACAGCGCCCAGGCCCAGAGTTTAGGACCTACAATCGGACCCAAAATAAAATAAAAATAAAAAATAAATACGTAGCCAAATAATTGCAATTTTTTTGTTTTTTTTAATCTTTTTATTTCTAAAACAGACCAAAAAAAACTTCACAAGTCACCTTTAATTACAAAACTAGATGACCAGAGCCAGCACTGGGTAGTTGACATCTATCTGTATTCCTAGCTACTCAGGCAGCTGGGACCCCCAGTATCAAAGCTCAAAACTAGACAAATCAGAGAGTCCATCTTTACTTAGTCAGCAAAAGCAGGGCTAAATGGTACAGTGGCAGTGAGCTGAGGGACATAAGTTACTTATGGATTTTTAAAAAATTTTTATTTTTGTCAGTCGTGGGGCTTGAACTCTGTGCCTGGGCACTGTCCCTGAGCTTCTTTTGCTCAAGGCTAGCACTCTACCACTTGAGCCACAGCGCCACTTCCAGACATTTCTGTTTATGTGGTGCTGAGGCATTGAACCCAGGGCCTCATCTATGCGAGGCAAGCACTCTACCACTGAGCCACCTGTTCCCAGACCCTGGATTATTTTTTTTTGAAAGATGGCTCAGGCTGGCTTTGAACTCTCTAGGTAGACCAAGGAGTTACTGTCTGCTTCTGCGTTTTGAATGCTGGAATCACCTACATGCACATAGCCTTACAATTTGAAATCTTTTAAATACTATATTACATATTGTTTGTCTTGATTGCTGCGAGTTTTTGTATTATTTTGGGGAGTGTGAGTGTGCCAGTCCCAGGGTTTAAAGTCTGAGACTGGGTGCTGTTCCTTAACTTTTGTGCTCAAGACTGGTGTTCTACTACTTGAGCCACAACACAACTCAACTTCCGACTGTTTGGTGGTTAATTGAAGAGTCTCACGGATTTTCCTAGCCAGACTGGGTTCGAATCAGGAGCTTGGAATCTCAGCTTCCTGAGTATCGCCCGCCTTTTTTTTGTGGTTGTTCTGTTTGGTTGCTACACTTGTACAGCAGAGGCCCCTACCGTGGGGGATGGGGTACGCCCTCCGGAAGCTCCTTCCAGCATGTCAAGTGGGGGGGGGAAAGGGGAGGAAAGAGAAGAGCTGAGTTTGGAGGGTGGGGTTGGGGCGGGGCCTAAACACCTGGCTCCTCCTCTATGCGCTGAGCCACTCAGCGGCTTTACAGCACCGAGGGTCCCGCCTCAATCCACCCACGCCGCCCGAGCAAGAGCTCTCATATATAAGTCGGCCATTTGGATCGCTCCGCCCTGGATCCCGGGAGTCCTTGCCGGTTTTTGGCTTTCTTGTCCCGTTCGTAGTTGGCTTGCCTTCGCTTTTCCTTTCAACATGACAGATGCCACTATGTCTTTCGTTAAGGACTTCCTGGCAGGTGGAGTGGCCGCGGCTATCTCCAAGACTGCTGTAGCCCCCATCGAGCGAGTCAAGCTGCTGCTACAGGTAAGTCTTGGAATCAAGAGATCCCGAGCAGGAAGTGGGGGGGGGGGGCGCATTGAAAGCCCGATATCGGGGCTAACTCTTTAGACATGTGTGGCGGCAAAAGTGGGCACAGAGTCGGATGAAAAGACCAAGTTGGGAGTGGCTTAAAGTTGAAAATCTACAAAGGGATACAAGACCGTGGGAGGCTGGGGGGGGGGGGGGAGCGGCTCAGGGGCGTCGCGCCCCCTGGGTAGCGAACTTTATGAGACAGACATCGTGTGGGAACACTGCCTTTCGGGCCTTGCCGGAAAGCCGGCGCTAGGAAAAAAAACAAAAAAAACACATTTAAGCCGGGCGTTGGTGGTTCCCGCCTATAATCCTAACTACTCTGGAGGCTGAGCTCTGAGATCACGGTTCAGGTTCAAAGCCAGCCCGCGCAGGAAAGCCCTCCGTGAAACTCTTATCTCCAATTAACACCAAAAAACCAGAAGTGGAGCTATAGCTCAAGTAGTGAAGTGCTACCATTGAGCACAAAAGCTCAGGGACAGCACCCAGGCCCAGAGTTCAAGCCCCAGGACGAGCGGGCGGACACACACAAACGCGTTAAGACTTTAAGGGTGCGGTGAGAAAGTAATAGAGTGAGCCCACGTGGACCGGGCCGGCAACCGAGCTCACACTTCACCGCCCGGAAACTGGGCTGGGCAGCCGCATGTGCCGGCTATGTCGGCCCTAGGGGGCGCGCATGCGCAAGCGTGCGTAAGAACTGTTGCACAGTCAGTGACCCCTACAAGACTGATGGGGGCGGAATACCGAGGAAGTGAGTAGCTCAGGCAACTCCTTACATATAGGTCATGGTCATCTTGATTGGTCATCGTGCCTTATGTGGAACTCGCCCAGATACCTCTGTACTTGTAGTTGAGACAATGAACTTTCCCCAGTTCTAAAGATCACGGGTCAGCTTGAGAGTGTCACCTCCCCACCCAAAAGGGTGGAGGCTAAATGCCTCTTACAGTGGCACATCACTTCTTCCCCTATGACAGTCAGCTGTTAGGAGGATCCAGCCTGTGGGACACAGAAGCCACATTTGGAGAAAGGAGAGTGATGCCAGGCTCTGGTGGCTCATGCCGGTGATCCTCCCTACTCAGGAGACAGAGATCTGAGGATCATGTTTCAAAGCCAATCCCCAGGCAGAAAAATCCATGAGACTCTTTTCTCCAATAAACTACTTAGAAAAAGGCAGAAGTGATTCTGTGGCACAAGTGGTAGAACATTAGCCTTAGGCAAAAAAAGCTCAGGGACAGTGCCAGGCCCTAAGTTCAAGCCCCAGAACTGACACCAAAAAGCAAAAAGGACAGTTAGCCTTAGATGATATACTTAAACTCTTCCTTTCCCTCCTCCATACTTATAACTTCACCCGTTGTCTTATTTCCTGTCTATCAGGTACAACATGCCAGCAAGCAAATCACCGCAGATAAGCAGTACAAGGGCATTGTAGACTGTGTGGTTCGGATCCCCAAGGAACAGGGAGTTCTGTCCTTCTGGCGTGGTAACCTGGCCAATGTCATCAGATACTTCCCCACCCAAGCTCTCAACTTTGCCTTCAAAGATAAATACAAGCAGATCTTCCTGGGTGGTGTTGACAAGAAAACCCAGTTTTGGCGCTACTTTGCAGGCAACCTGGCATCGGGAGGTGCTGCTGGGGCCACATCCCTGTGTTTTGTGTATCCTCTTGATTTTGCCCGTACCCGTCTAGCAGCTGATGTAGGCAAAGCTGGAGCTGAAAGGGAATTCAAAGGCCTAGGTGACTGCCTGGTAAAGATCTACAAATCTGATGGTATTAAAGGCCTGTACCAAGGTTTCAATATGTCTGTACAGGGTATTATTGTCTACCGGGCCGCCTACTTTGGTATCTATGACACTGCAAAGGGTAAGTTAACTATGTGCTTTGATGCTATGTTCTTTTGAGACAATTTAAAAGATTACAGTGCCAATCTAAAATTAAGAGCCAGAGATTGTACGGGTGTCAGGGGTGTGTGTTTGTATTGGTTTTTTTTTCTGGGGTGGGGGTCCGGTCATGGGGCCTGAATGCTGTCCCTCAGCTCTTCAGCTCAAGGCTAGCTCTCTACCACTTGAGCCACAGCGCCACTTCCAGCTTTTTTTCTTTTTGCTTATGTGGTGCTGGGGAATCAAACCCAGGGCCTCATGCATGCAAGGCAAGCGCTCTACCACTGAGCCACCTTCCCAGCCCCTGGTTTTTTAAGTAGTTGTATAAATGAGGTTTCAATTCAAGTCAGATTATGAGTACAGTGCATCTTGGTCACTGTGGTCAAAGATTGATGAAATGTTTGTTGGGGGTTGTAGAATTTTTTTTTTTCTTGGGTCCGGTCATGGGGCCTGAAGTCTGGGACTGGGCACTGTCCCTCAGCTCTTCAGCTCAAGGCTAGCACTCTACCGCTGGAGCCACAGCGCCACTTCTGGCTTTTTTTTTTCTGTTTATGTGGTGCTGAAGAATTGAACCCAGGGCCTCAGGCATGCAAGGCAAGCGCTCTACCACTGAGCCACCTTCCCAGCCCAAAATTTTTTTTTAATAAATATATCTTTTCTTTACCCAGGAATGCTTCCAGATCCCAAAAATACTCACATCTTCATCAGCTGGATGATCGCCCAGTCTGTCACAGCCATTGCTGGCTTGATATCTTATCCTATTGATACTGTTCGCAGACGCATGATGATGCAATCAGGTCGAAAAGGAAGTAAGTTTCCCTTGAGCAGAAGGGAAAAGTTGGTGGGCATGGGGCAAACCATGGCTGCAAACTAGTGATAACCTGTCTTACAAAAAAAAACAGACAGGAGGGCTTAGTGGTAGAGTGCTTGCCTAGCATACATGAAGCCCTGGGTTCAATGCCTTAGTACCACATAAAGAGAAAAAACCTGAAGTAGTGCTGTGGCTCAAGTGGTAGAGTGCTAGCCTTAAGCAAAAGAAGCTCAAGGACTATGCCCAAGCCCTGAGTTCAAGCCCCAGGACTGGCCAAAAAAAAAAAGCCCTTGGAGCTGGGAAGGTGGCTCAGTGTTAGAGCGGTTGCCTTGCATGCATGAAGCCCTGGGTTCCATTCCTCAGCACTACATAAGCAAAAAGTCCAGAAGTGGCACTGTGACTCAAGTGGTAGAGCGCTAGCCATGAGCTGAAGAGCTGAGGGACAGTGCCCAGGCCCAGAGTTCAGGCCCCATGACTGACCAAAAAAAAACAAAAACAAGCAAAAAAAAAAAAAAAACCCACAGGAATATTAGCTGGATGCTGGTGACTCAAACCTGTAGTCCTTAGCTACTCAGGATGCTGAGTTCTGAGAATCACAGTTCAAAGCCAGTCTCAGCAGAAAATCCCATGAGATTTTTATCTCCAGTTAGCACTAAAACAGCTGGAAGTGGAGCTGTGGTTCAAGTGGTACAGCACTATCCTTGGACAAAACAGCTCATGATGACACCAAGCCCTGAGTTTAAGCCCACATCCAACAGAAAAAAAAACAACAACAACAACAACCCCACAGCAATATAAATGCCAGTGGCTCATGCCTGTAATCCTAGCTACTCAAGAGGCTGAGATCTGAGGATTACGGTTCACAGCCAGCCTGAGCAGGAAAGTCCATGAGTTTTATCTCTAGTAACCACCAAAAATGCCAGAAGTAGAACTGTGGCTCAGAGACAGAGCCCAGGAGTGTTGCATACACACAAACACAAACCCAGCACTGTATATTCATGGTGAGAGATGAGGGATTATAGCATGTGTGCCTACCGCACAACTGCCTGCAAGCAAGTGGCCCTTTAGATGCCTATGAATGAAGGTGCTTAAATGGTATTACAGGTTAAGACCAGTGGGGAGTCTACAGATCCCTATTCTTTATTCATGGCATTAATATTTCAGTATTGTCAATTCTGATATGTAAACATTGGATTTAAAACCCACACTGAGAGCTGAGTATCACTATCACAATACTGTGAAATTTATATGATCACTTAATCACAATAAAAAATTATTTAACAATAAGTGGGGCTACGTTTTATTTGGTCTATTGTTTTAGGGTTTGAATTGACTTTAGTCATCAATTCCATGTGTTTCTTCTTTGCAGCTGATATCATGTACAAAGGCACACTTGACTGCTGGCGGAAGATTGCACGTGATGAAGGAAGCAAGGCCTTTTTCAAGGGTGCATGGTCCAATGTTCTCAGAGGCATGGGGGGGGCCTTTGTGCTTGTCTTGTATGATGAAATCAAGAAGTACACCTAAGTAATTCCCCAAGGATCTCTGTGACTAGCCATGCTGTATGTCTTGAGCATTTTTGGAGAGATTCTGGCCCATTTATCGTTGGCAACGATTTGCTGGTTGAAAATGGGAAGCAATAATACTCATCTCACCAGTTGTGTCTTAAAAGCTATTTCTATGATGATAATAATAAAGACTCGTTTTTTATTTCAGAAACTCCTAATAAAAACATCTTTGAAAGAAATAAAAAGTTTTGTCTTATTTTCATCTGAAAATGTACTCAGGAAGTTGAAATCTGAGGATAAGAGGGGATTTGAGTAAGTGCTATATTTAAGCAAATGCTACAGCATCTGAGGTACTTCATCTGCGCTGGTACCAGAGTTTCTCGCTCTTGGTTTGGTTTTCATGGCTGGCACTCTTTACTTGGGCCATACTTCCAGTTTCAGCTTTTTTTCTGGTTAGACATAAAGATTTGGCTGCCTGTGCTGGCTCAGATCTCAGCCTCTTGAGTAACTAGAATTATAAGAGTAAGCCAGACACCAGCTTCTTTTCTTTCCTTGTGGTAGCCCTGGGGCTTGAACCTGGGAGTAGGTACAGTCCCTTAAGTTGTGTGTTAGTCCTGGCTTGAAGCCAGGCCCTAGGCACTATGCTTGAGCTGTTTTGCTCAAGGCTAGTGCTTTACCACTTGAGCCACAGCTCCACTTCCAGCTTTTTTGGCAGTTAATTGGAGATAGTCTCAGGTTTTCCTGCCTCAGCTGGCTTCAAACATCCTCAGATCTCAGCTTCCTGAATACTGTTAGTTAGGAGCCACCAGTGTCCAGCAACACCTAGCTTTGAGATGAACTTTGAGACCCCATCATCAGGTATCAGCATCAGAGAATACACTTGTTTATAGGACCTGCCAATGTTTCCAATACATTAATTAGCAAAATGAAATTTGGACTCGGTGTATACAAAAACAGATGCTATCTGTTGCCTGTCATAGCTGCGGGAGCTTTCTCCAAAAAGCATCATGCACCTACACTTGCTAGTTCTGTGCTTATTAATCAAAAACTATGGTCTGGATGATCACTTTCAAATGGTCAATTTGTTGCATGAATGTTATTCCATTTAAACTTTTTTTCTTTTCGCCAGTCTTGGAGCTTGAACTCAGGGCTTGGGCACTGCCCCTGAGCTTCTTTTGCTCAATGCTAGCTCTCTACCATTTGAACCACAGTGCCACTCCTAGCTTTTTTTGTTTATGTGATACTGAGGAATTGAACCCAGGGCTTCATGCATGCTAGGCAAGCACTCATCACTAAGCCATATTCCCGGCCCTATTTTTTTTGTTCCAGTATAAACTAAGGGCCTGGGAACACTCCCTTAGCTTTTCCCACTTCAAAATGGTGATTTACCACCTGAGGCACACTTCTACTTCTGGCCTTTTGGTAGTTAATTGGAAATAAGAGTTGCACAGGAGGGCTGGGAAGGTGGCTCAGTGGTAGAGTGCTTGCCTTGCATGCCTGAGGCCCTGGGTTCCATTCCTCAGCACCACATAAGCAGAAAAAAAAGGCAGAAGTGGCACTGTGGCTCAAGTGGTAGAGCGCTAGCCGTGAGCTGAAGAGCTGAGGGACAGCACCCAGGCCCAAGTTCAGGCCCCACAACCGGAAACGGACCCCCCCCCCCAAAAGAAAAAGTTGCACAGGATTTTCTGCCTGAGCTGTCTTTGAACCTCAAAACTCAGACCTCAAACTCCTGAGTAGGCAGGATTATAAGCATGAGCCACCGGTGCCTGGCCAAACCCTTTTTTTTTGGGGGGGGGGGGGGTCCGGTCGTGGGGCCTGAACTCTGGGCCTGGGTGCTGTCCCTCAGCTCTTCAGCTCAAGGCTAGCGCTCTACCACTTGAACCACAGCGCCACTTCTGGCTTTTTTCTTTTTGCTCATGTGGTGCTGAGGAATCGAACCCAGGACCTCATGCATGCAAGGCAAGCGCTCTACCAGTGAGCCACCTTCCCAGCCCCCCCCCCTTTTTTTTAATGCAATGTAATCATAGCAGAGAGGAAATATTTTTGGTGGTCTTGTGGACTGAACTGAGAGCCTTATACGATCTAGGCAGGCACCTTCCTACTTGAGCCGCACCTCCAGCCCTAGTTACTTTCTATCTAATTGCCTTTCAGCATTCACCTGGCTCAAGCCATTTTTATTTAATCTCACTGAAAGCAAGAGGATTAGAGCTGGCATAGTTGCAGTGCCATTAAAGACTATGAAGATTGCTGGATGACAGCCACGACCTCAGAACTCATTTCACAAAGGAGAACCAGCACCTGCATTGGGACTAATATTCACCAGCCCTGTGGGTGGTAGACATGCTTGTTTCTATGGGCTAAGCCCCTATTTGGCATCCACATGAAAGTTTGCATTTTCTGTAACTCTCAATTAGGGCTCAAATCCAGTGGGGTTTGTGTGTAACATAAGATTTGTGTGAATAATAAAGCACTCTGTCTTGTCAGGTCACCACATTTACAGAAAATAAGATAGGTAATCCACGTGACAGGTAAAACTCATTCCCAAGGAACACATCCCACACACTGCTATATTTGAAGGCCTATTCACAGATGAATAGCAGCATGTATTACTGACTAGGAGATCCTAGGGGTTTTGTTGTACACACCTTGGCCAAGCATCTGAGTCACACTATAGCTTAGTTGTTAAGAATTGTTGTGACTACGAAGAGGAGGAGGCAGCAGCATTCTCTCCTGAGGGTAAAGCTGCCTCTTGGTGTTCTTTGCTTCAATTGTCATTTGCCATTGATGGCTGTTTGCTTCCTTTGAGCAAGTAGGAAATTCTATACACACATCATTTTCATCATCATCTTAGTGGCTTCCTGAGAAGAGATTTTTTTTTTTGGTAAAGTAAACACTGCTGGTATCAGACAGAAGTCTGAGCTAAAAATCTGGACACTGCCATTTAATTGTGCTCTTAGGCAAGTTAATTAAATTTCTTGAAGCTTCAGTTTTCCTTATTCACAAGATGAAGCTTAATACTGCCTGCTTCGGAGGGTTGTCGCAAAGATTAAATGGTTTGTGTAAACCCTCTGCCCTAGAACGTATGTAATAAGTAAGTACTCCATAAGTGGTGTAACTATAATAATTAGGAGGCAGCTCAGATTTCAGGGTTTTAAGGCTGGCTCTGCTGCTTACTTAGCTGTGTAACTTCAGGCAAGTCTATCTCTCAGAGCCTCAGTTTCCTTCTTTGTGGAAACAGAGCGACAGGAATGGTCATATTCCTCAGGGGTGTTGGGAATGAGGGCCAAGAAAGATTAAACCTGTTGAGCAGTAAGTATGATGGCTGGCATCTAATAAGTGTCCCGTTGTGTGTTTTGTTTTACAATTCAGAACCCATTTTTGTTGAACAAAGATTTGTTGAAGTCCAGTATAGAATGAATTCAAGTCTACCTTTTCCTACCTTCCTTCCTTCCTTCTTTCCTTCCTTCCTCCCTCCCTCCCTTCCTTCTTTTCCTTCTTTCTGTCTTTCTTCTGCCACAGCCTAGGCATAGTATGTCCTGTAGCATTTATTTAAAATAAACTTCAGCTTAGGTCTTTTTCAGCTATAGATTTCTGTTCCTGAAAGGGAGTAAGAGGCTCTTCACTTCGGGCTGCACACACAATACAAGAGGACCCAATCCCCCTTTATGGTTATTACAATAGATGCGGACTCACTGAGCTGGCAGCTATTAAAATAAACATAGGACTGGGCATTAATGATCAGAAAGCAAGAAGTGATACCTTGCTTCCATTGGGTGGCTGACATAGATGAGGTAGGGGGCTTTGGTTGTTGTTCTTGCTATTCCGGTTGTTCAATGATTTTTGAAATTTAATTTAAAGACAAAGTGATTTTAATCTCCCCAAGCTGTGCAGGATAGTGCTATAGAATTCATTATGTCCATTACGCTCATGCAAACGTTGATGGTACACAATCTTAGCAACCCCCTAATTTATGCTGTTGTTTTGTTACTATTCAACGCCTAACAGGATCTGGGGAGCCTGATTCCAGGTGAGAGAGCCAGAATACAGGTCAGTCAGCTTGTGCACAGCCGCGCTGTCTATTCCAGGGGCCTCTCCACTCAGTCACAGGAGGCGGTGAGCTGCGGGTGCTCCGGACCGCGGGGGAAAGAAACCAAGGGTGTCTTTCCCAGAGGGCCAGCTTTTTCGTGGATGGTAAGTCATTGAAGCTATTATTTTTGTATTAAAAGAGATGCAGAAATGCTAAGGGGTCGGTGAATTTCATGGCATTTTAGAAAAAAAAAACACAAAACATAAACTGCAAAGTGAGTTCTTGTAAACAAGGACCATTTCTGTCACTGTCCCCAGACTCTGGAGGGGACCCATTCAATCTTCTCTGCCATTGTGGATACTTTGGGAGAAAAAAAAAAATAAGTGTTTTGGTTTTTTTTTAAGTACTACTGTTACTATGTAATGATTTTCAAGCATCAATGTTATATTCTGGGATTCATTCGATTTCTCCTTTGAAGTTTGCGAGCATAGTATTTCTAATTTGCCTGTTAGGTTTGTAATATCGTTCCTATCTGTACATGGGAATAAAAGCCACATTGTGAAGAACAGATAGGAAATGCCAAGTCAACATCTCCTCACTCACCCTCTCCCATCTCCAGAGACCCTCTCCTCAAAAGTCACCATTATTGGTAGTGTCTTGTCTATCCATCCTCCCCAAATTGATGCTTATTGCTATCATGCTAGCTGAATTATTGGAATCATATTCTGAACATTTGTATTCAAAACGGCATTTTTTTAAGAAAGGCACCAAGCCATCAGGGGCCAGGACCCTCGGATGCTGTTGGAGACCGGAGCAAGGGAGGGGTAGTTTCTAGATATTGAGCAAGAATTTCTAAGTGTAGCCTTTTACTAAAAACCCAAACCAGTACTTTCCTTTGGGGTTTTAGCTTTGTTTGCTGAGTGACCTGGGCCCCGTGGCGGAGCCAGCGGAGGGGGGGGGGGTTAACATCAGAACCTTATGAAAGGAGGAATGGGGGGGGGGATCAACTTCAAAGTCCCTTCCAGTTTAGCTATCCTCCAACTCCCTCATTTTTACATAGAGCAGAATCAGTGAAAGGACCAGGATGAAATGATTTAATCCTTGCAGAGAACATTTTTCAAAATACCTAACAAAATCATAACTAAATGGTCTCTGACTCAGAGCAGTCATTACAGACTGTGTGGGTGGGTTTGTCTTTGGCAAATAAAAATTACAAAT